TCCATCGATAAATATGCAACAATTACTTGTAGCTGATCTCAAGAAGAATCGTACGTGGTTTCATTTTACAGACGATTTTCCGCTGGCATAACGTACTTTTGCACAAACTAAGAAAATTATTTTTTTTTTAATATTACAGCTCTATCTAAATATGTTCATTCCTCACCGATGAATTTTTCAGCCATTTGTTTTCCATGTAAGCAGCCATGTGAATTATTAGATATACATTGAACAAAATATACAGAATGCTCACAGCGACTATGAAAAAAAAACAAATACAAATTCGTTCATCTTAACAAGCACATCAATCTACACAGTTGCTTTGTATCGGTATAAGCTAAGGCAACTGATGTGTAGAATGTAGTTACTACTCACCAGCTAATGCAATCCATGCCCAGCCCAAATGACCACTGTTTAATCGGTCAATAACAAATATGATGTTGATGATAAGAACTAAAATGTATAAAAGAATGGCAACGATTTGATTGCCGATACTATTCACGAATTCACGCATTGTCATCACACTAGATGTAAATACTATGGTTGGAATGACGGCGAATGGTAGTTGCAAAGTCATGATAGCATTCAGAATATCATTCATGCCCGTCAAATCTTGGATGCTATTGAAGTAGGCGACGAAAAATGTTGGGAAGATTGCAATTGATCGAGTAACAAGTACTCGCTTCCAACGCGCCCATTGCAAATTCAAAAAACCTTCCATAGCAAACTGCCCCGCGTACGTCCCCGTCATGGTCGAGCTTTGGCCGGCTGCCAAAATGCCAATAGCCCAGATATACATGGCAACAATGCCAAAGGTACAACCTAAGAATATTCCGCCTTTGTATAAATCAGCATCAACTGGTTCCGTATTCAATCCAAACATTTTAAAGCATCCTCGTACAGTGCTGGCGTTTGATTCTTACACAGTTCCACCTGGAATTTCAAATGAATGGGAGTTAAATATTTTTCTCTCCTAATGTCATTCAAGTGTTGTTCGAGTACAATATCACTGTTCGTGTGTCCAGAAAGACCATGCGCGAAAACAGCCACCACAAACACATTTATGATAAACGCTATCAACACGGCAATGATAGCTTCAATGAAAAAATACATGTTTGCATCTCGGACTTTAACTGGATCTTTTCGGTCTATATCACGTGACTGTTGAAAATTGGATAAAATTCTATTTAAAATATCGCCATATGTGAAAAAAGCCTCGAATTCATTTTTATTTTACTTTAACTAATGCCGAATGCAAGTATAAATTATGGGGGTTAATGACAGATCCAATCACTCCAACGGCTTGCAATAATTCCGTTGATCCACAATTTGCACACCAAGGGAAAAACATTCCTTTCATAGTATCGATTGCACTTGGAGCCGATACAATATACTATAAAAAGATGAAATTAATAAATGTTCACTTCCAGTCCTCCGTTGGACCCATACCTCATAGCCAAATGTTCCAGCCATTACAGTTATTAGAAAACCAAATAAAAGTTCAAGCTTTCGAAGGCCATATTTGTCAATCAATAAAAACGAAAATGTGTCGATGATTGTGATTAGAACACCACCCCATAATGGGATACTAAAGGCAGATTTTTTGAACAATATGTATTGTATGAATGAGGATTCCGATTTTAATGTAAAATATGTTAGCTAAACACTTACAGTTTATTAGACAGTAAGAATATGGCGATGGATGTTCCAATGACTTCTTGCATATCTGATCCAATAATAGCTATTTCAGTCATAATCCACAACATTAATCGTGGAATGGTTCTGTAATGCTTGTAGCACATTTCCGCTAAATGAAGGCCAGACACAACGCCCAGTCTATTGAAACCAAACGTGTGTTTTAACTTGCTTTAAACAAAATATAAAAATGGATATGTATGTATGTGCTTGTCTATACCGTGCTGACATTCGTTGCAAAAATAAACCAGAAATTGTTGCCGCTAATAGCACCCATAACAACTTATATTTTGCAATAACTCCGGACTGAAGATCGAATTCGATATTCCCGGGATCTAAAAAAGCGATTGACATCAAAAAACCTGGACCCATGAAAGCGAAAAGCTTGCGAAAGCTAAATCCCACCTATTGAATAAATTTAGTCACACTTTGAGTTCAGTTGAATTGACTTGATATTCAACTGGAAACTTACAGTGTCTGGGATAATGATTTTTTCATCCGAAAAATATGTATCCAAATGGGTATTGCTTTCATTTGGCATTGGCTGAATATTCGAATCAATCGATGTATTTTTCGAGGCTGAAAACGTTGACGATTGCCCTTCTCTACTATCAGGTTCAAACGCTATATTGGTTGCCATTATTTTTTACAATCGTATTTTTTCTTCTTCTTCTTCAGGAATTTTAAACTTTCTAAACTCGAAATTCATTTGCAGAGGTCGAAATCTGAATAAAGATTTCAAATTTTGAAAATAATAGTCTACGCACTTGCGAATAGTACTTATATATCTTATTGCCAGTCTCCGTTGCAAAATAAAACTTTAGATCAGAGCGTATACCGTACAGATGCTACAACTTGAAAATGACTTCAAAATGAAACCTATTTTACTTATATAGTATCTCAAACATATCTAGACTCATTGTTTAATGAACAACGAATTATTTTATCGCTCGTAAACGAGGCTTCGTTCTGATGAATCATGGACATATATATATGTATCCCGTAATAAAATTGATAATCTTGTTAAAGTAATTATCGTAGTCATATCTCTCAGTTTTTGGATTTCCCATAAATAACGAATAAATGTACAGTAACTATGAAAAAGTCCCCTTTTTTATCAACTCGATGCAAGAGTTTTGTTATTCGCTGCAAGATAAATTAGGTATTTACTAGTCAGTGAATTATACCATATGATAGAACGGAACATTCATCATTTGTTCCTCATTCGTCAAAAGGACTCTGATCAGTCCAGCTTCTAAAGCTGATAATATTTTTTCCAAGAAATCTTTCGTTTAAAAAAAGTCAATTTATTTCAATCTCTTTGATTTATATTGGAACGATTTTTTTTATTTCATTGTTTTTGTCTTATTGCTACAAATCTAATTTAATTCAAGTGCACTTAAATAAAAAAAAATAGTATTTTCATATCATCATAAAATTACATAGTTGTGTTCATAAAAAAAAACTAATAGAAAGATTTGCAAGTGCAGCTGGACAGGATGCTAATTATTGGTTGACCGGAACGTTTTCATTATTTTGAGTACCATCGCTTATTTGTTTCGTCAGTCTTTCGATTTCGATTCTTCTCTTATCGCAAATGCCCTTGGCATTTTCGTATTTACGCTTAAAGCGAACCACTTCTTCGGAAACTTCTTTGAGTTGCTTTTTCAGGGCGTCTGTCTCCGACTTCAATTCCGCTTCATTCTTTTCAAAATTGGCCATTTTTCGCTGGAACTCTTGGATTTGATCCCAACGAGTAGTGCAAAGACGTTTCATGTGAACATATTTTGGCTGTATTTCATCCAACAGAGCCGCTGCCTCTACACTTTTCGTTGATTTTTCTTCGCATTCACGTTTCAATTGCTCAAATTTAGCCTTCAATTGATTGTGGACATTCACTAAGTCCTCGTAACCTTTTTTGTACTTCGCGGCTCTTCTGTTGACTTTATCCCAATCCATTTGGTCCACAAATGTTGCACCAGACTTTGGAACGTCCGTCTGAACAGCGACATCCGATGATGCTGTTTTTTGTAGGGCAATGACACTTTTCAGCTTCAGTTTTTCGTGCTTATCCAAGAGATTTTCGTAGTCGATATTAAGTCGGCTTAGTTTCGATTTAGTTGTCGATAGTTCGGTCTTCAATGTCTTGACTTCGGCTTGCAGATCATCGACACCGGTACTTAAACGGAACGTTGCGTATTTTGCCTCGATAATAACTATCTCTTGTCTCAGTTTGATGATCTATGAGGGGGGAAAAGCAGAACAAAATAAATATTTAATTGCAATTGGGTCTCCGTAGATATACGAACTTACTTGTTTTGCCATATCGCTGCAGGAACATTTCTCATCAACTGGATCGGTTTGTGTTCCAAGATCGATCATGGTTGAGTCAAAACCAGACATGCGACGAGTGTCGTCATGGATGCTCTGACGTTTGATTTTTCGAACCGTACTTGTGGATTTTCTGAGCTCCTGCACCTCATTTTCAAGCACTGTTTGCATCGATTTCAATGTTCGGTTTTCATTTAGCAGACTTTCGATATCCACATCTCGATTATCACGACGTCTTGGGCTCTGCAATTGCCATGCATCTGATGAATGGCTTCCATGTCTTTTATTTTGAATTGCATTCATTTCCTCAACCAATTTTTGCTTTTCGAATTCTATTTTTTCCTTCGACTGCTTCATGGTGGTGAGCTGTCTTTGAACATCGTTCAATTCCTCTGTTTGACTTTCGATTTGGGATTGAAGTTTCTTGTTGAGTTTTTCCAGACATTCTTGCTCTTCTTCCAAAACGGTAATTTTATGCTGAAGCTCACCGAATTTTCCTTGGTTGTCCTTCTTCATGCGTTCGTAATTGCCAACAATGTCCTTGAGCTCAGCAATTTCATCTGATGCTTTCTTCAGCTCCTTTTCTTTTTGTGCTAGCTGATCTTTAAGCGCACACTGCATTTGGATGCGTTCCTCTTGATTTCGCTTGTTAGAGCGCTCATAATCGGCAATGGTTTCCTTGAGCTTGGTCTTTTCTTGTTCATTTTTGGCCAAGTTTTGTTTACTTTCCTTCATTGCCATCTCATATTTATCGATGATTACTTGGAGTTTAGTGATTTTGTCATCATTCTTCATCAAAGTCTCTATACTTTCCTTCAGTTTTGCTTCTTTTTCTTCCAATTTATCGGTTAAATCCCGCTGAATTGAATCTAGACGCTGTTGACTAACCAAATGATTGGCAATATGGTTTTCGAGTTCAACGATTTTATTCGATGCAATCTTCGATTCTTGCTCTTTCTGTGCGAGTTTATCCTCAAATTTACGTTGAATTTGGTTGACCTCTTCTTTGTGTTTCTTGTCCAAATTTTCGTGCATTTCAATCTTCGATTCAAGTGTTTTCTTTAGCTCACTGATTATCCGTTCCTTCTCGGCGTAAATTTCCATGTGACCCTTTTTTACAATCTCACTATGACTAACAGTTTCTTTTAGTTGTGCGATTTCATCAGATGAGCTCTTCAGTTGTGCCTCCTTCTCTGTGAGTAATTCGCTGAATTCTTGCCGAATTTTCTCGAGTTGAACGTCTTTAGATCGCTCGTGATTAGCAATAATTTGTTCAACTTCGCCAATTTTCCGTTGATTTTCGACAAGATTATCTTGAGTCTGCTTTTGCAAATTCTCGTAGTTTACCTTGAGTTCGGCAATTTCCACATTAGCACTTTCCAGCTGATTCTCTTTTTGCATGAGCTGTTGAGTCGTTTCTTCTAGTTTTGTTTGATTTTGTGCGTATTCATCCAAATTTGCTTTGAGTGATGTGATTTTATTTCGTAGATCTTGAATCTCAGTGTCTTTGGCGATGATGGTTTCCTCGATTAATTTCATATGACTGTCACTTTGCTCTTGTGTTTTCTTCATTTGGCTAAGTTGTTGATGCAATGTTTCTAGTTCAGTTTTGGTCGATTGAATCACATTTTCTAGACTCGAAACTTCCTTCAACTTTTCTTCAAACTTCAACTCATTCTGTTTGAGCTCTTGCTCTTTAGCGGTCAACAATACCTTTGTTGATTCACTTTGTGCCTTGATTGTGTCACATTGAGCTAGCGCCTCACGCAATTTCCCGTTCACCTCTTCGATTTCTTTGTTCATTTTCAATGTTAGTTCAGTGCCTGAACTAGCGTTGGCGGCAACCATCTGCTGTAAACGAGTGATTTCATTCCGTTGTTTCGATTTGATTTCGTTCCACTCTTCTGTTTGTTCGTTCAAAAGCTTTTCGCGTTTTTCATGTTCCGCCAATTTCTGATTTAATTCTTCGATGAGTTGAGTTAATTGCACATTGTTCGACTTTTCGTTTTCAAGCTGATCTTTTGATTGTTTTTCCTCAGATTGTAAGAGCGATAGCCGTTCGGACAACATTTGAGATTCACCTCTTAGCGTCGAAATTAGCTTTTCATTGTTTTTCTTATCACATTCCAACTGATTGCACTTCTCCTTGAGCTCCCTGCAAATTGGAAGAGAAATAATTATTATTATTAGCGGGTTGAACGATGTATCGATGCATGTACGACAGTGGTTATTTTATGTTCGATAGGATAACAGTAATACTCACTTCAATTCATTTAGATTGGTGGTCAATGTATCCAGAATTTGATCTTCAGATGACTCTGGCACGAAAGCAGATGACAATTCGTCTTGCATAACATTTGTGATACGTTTTAAAACCAAATCCAACCTGTCACGTTCTTCGTTCGACTTTTGGAGCTGAACAGTTAGATTGTTTGATGCAGAGCTGTCTTCCTTCTCACTATAAGTTGAGTTTGTGATGTGTTGAGTATTGTTAGACATCGATTGAGTGTTGTTGCAAATCGACTGTGTGTGGTTCGCCGTAGAATTGGACGTTGTTTCATTGAATACGCTGAAATTGATAGTTTCATCGTATTCACTGATGGTTCGCTGCAGTTTCAAGTGCTCTAGCTCCTGTACGGCCGTGCTCATTTTCAAATCGTTGTATCCTTTGCGTAACAATTCTGTTTCCTTCATAAATATGTCAACAGTCATTCGAGCATGTGTACAAGCATTCTCAAGAAGTGTATTCGTGTGCTCAAGATTGTTACAATAAGCCAATAAATCATCATGCTCCGTTTTGATATTGAAAATTTCATCTTTCTGATCAGAAATGTCTTGTTCGAGCTCTTGAATCAGCGCCGATTGTTTTTGTGTCAAAGTCTCCACTTGCACACGGTGATCTTCCTCCAATTTCTTGATTTCATTTGTTTGTTCCGCAATGGTTTGTTCAAATTTTTGGATATTAACCGATTGAGATGCTTGCTGTTCTTTCAGAGCTGCCATTTCTTTATGATGCTTCTCTTCTATCTGCTGCATTTGTGATTGGTGTGCCTGGTTTTTCTTCTGGAGATCAGCTTCCCATTCAACATTAATACTAACTGCTGACAGTTGAACTTTCAAATCGTCATTTTCCTTGTTGAGCTCACCGATTTTCTCATTCAGTTTTTCAATGGTCCTTTTCATGTCGTTGCACTGGTTCTTGAGCTGATCATTTTCTTGAATGTTGTCCACCAATTGAACGGATACATCATCATATTCGTTTTGAAGATTTTTCAATTTTTCATCTAGTTTTTTGACACGATCGTGCTTTGCTTGCTCTTCAGTGATCTTTGTATTTAGTTTTTCGACCTCAGCGCTATGCTTCTGAGCGTCTTGCCACAACTGAGTCTCCAATGAGTTTGATTTTTCTGTCATATTAGCCAGTTTCCCTTTGAGCACTTTCATTGCCTCATCATTGCCAACACTTTCCAGTTGTTCGACCAATTCGTTTTCTCGACGACTGGCACGAGCTTTATATTGTTCGTACTCGAATTCGATGCTCGTCATAATCTGCTCAGCTAGCACTTTGGCTTCAAGGGCCAACCCCCGCTCTTTTCTGGCATCTTTAACCTCGCGTTGCGCCGATTCTAATTGACTTTCGAAATCGCTCACTTTTCGGTGAGTTTCATCCAATTGTTTTTTTAATTGTGCGATCTCTTTGGATTTTTCTTCGAGTTCAGCTTGCATTCTGAAATAAGATACAGATGATATAAACGTCTGCGTTTCCAACCTCACACTATTTCATCGTGAGAATTGAGGTTTCTGTCTTGTCCAATACTTACGAATCGTCATGGGATGAACGAACCATTGATTCTGTTTGCTGAAAATGTCGCAGTTCTTCTAGTTCCTGTTCAAGCATTCGAATTCGATTATCTTTATCCAGCGCAATCGGACTGGCAACTTGTGAAGATGTTGGTGCGTCTAGAATTCAACAAAGAAAATGTCAGATTTCAATTGTTAGATACTACATTCGACTTCACATAAAACTCTTGAATTCAAAACAAACACTCAAGTGCGTATAGAATTGCCTACCATTATTTCGGTATATATGTTTGACTGATTTTGGTGTTTTGAGTAGTGATCGTCGAGCCTGTGGATGATTTGGTGTTTTGACTGTTGTGTTTGTGTCCTGTTCGATGTCCTCTGACTTCAGTAGTCTCTGATGGTGGAATTTAAGTGCAGATGGTGCTGATTCACATTCATTTTCATCGAAATCGATCATCTGTTTGCCTACAGTGTCATTCAAAATTGAACCCCACTCCTCCTCCGTGCACTCGACTCGACGACCCTTATCACTAAACATCAATTGGCACATCGATTTTTTCTCATTTTCTGCCGCTTCCATTTCTTCATTGATGCTTCGCAACTGCGATGTATTAGAGTTAGGGGCCCAAGTCCTGCGTCGGTTCATCGGTACCTTCTTAGGTCCTTGGATTATCAGCTCTTTGATAACGGTTAGTTCTTCTTCTTTTTTACGGTAGTTGGCAATCTCTTGCGATTGAGCCGCCAGTTGTGCTTCGAGCTTTACAATAAGCTTCTTAGCGCGTTTTACTTCGACAGCATCGCTGACCGTTTCATTTATAACTGGTTTATTCTCAATTTTCTTGGCTCGTGTGGCAAACCTGTGTAACAAATTCTAGTGTTAATATTCATTCATTTCTATTTACATATAATCAGTCTTGATTGATTTGATTTGAATTTTAATTTACCCAAGAGTGAGATTCGTTTCTTCGACTGCAGCTGGTGTTATGGCACAGATCATGACTGTCATAGCATTTCCACCAAGTGAAGGTTGTAGTATGCGAGTTAGTTTTGAATCACGGTAGCCAATGTGGCCGTCCGGATCTTCGCTCAGCTTATTGATGACAATGCTGAGTGTCAACAAACTTTTGTTGATATTACCAGCTTCCTTGAGACGTTCACCAGTGGCGCCAGTTGAATCAGCTCTCTCAGATCCAGCCAAATCAACCAAATTCAATACTGATACCTGTGATGCGCCTTCGCAATCCAAAACTGATTCAATGCCCTAAAATATGATTGTTCATGAAACTTCCTTCCGAAACACGCTCAGAAATGGACGAAAGCTAGATTTTTTAAAAATTCAATGCATCGAAATGAACGAAAACTACTTACGATTTGCAATATTGCATGTGATCGACTGGATTGAACATTCATATTTGTCTCAGCAACTTTGCGATGATTGTTACCAGCTTCAACCAGCTTCAAAAGGTCATCATCACATTTTACCTTTTGACCAGTACATCCAAATTTCAATTCTCCATTCGGAAGTTCTTGAATTTTGATTTCTTTTCGGTCATTCAACAGATCGTACACCTTTTCATTGTATATTTCGAGATAGTTAACCCTGTGAAAACCAATAACGGAATCATATGAGTGAAATGTCAGTTTGTTTGGTGTCATGACAGCTGGCAATTTGGCGCGAAAGGAATTTTTCACGGATAAAGAAAAATGAGATTGATTTTTACTTACTTAACAATGAATGTTCGACCCATTTGTTCAGTCGCGGACATGATATCGTCGAAAATCTGTCTTGCAGCTAATCGAATGACCCCAACATTCCTTTTATCACCGAGCATAGTGTAAGTCTTGCCTTCAAAGATGCAAGCAACAAAATGAACATTATCATACGTAATGCTGAACAAATTTCGTTAAATCGTTGCAATTGACGTTTGAATGCTTACCAGAAGATGTTTGCCCATATGCGAAAATTGTGCCATTAAATCCTTTGACTGACTTTTCAACGATTGGGCGGGCAACAGCGTTGTACAACTCCAGTGTCGACGCATTCTCATCATAGATGTGATCTTAATGAAGAACCAATTTTGGTTAGAATTGACATGAAACAAAAATCACACACAAAAAGTCACAAAAAAGCAAATAAAATATTGAAATTAAATTTCATCACTTTAAATGCCAAAAAAACTCACCAAATGTGTATCGTTGTGAACACAATGGATTCAAACCTTCGATTGTGTCACCGACGATTTTCCACTGACTCGTTTGACGTGCCTCTTTTTCGCGTTTTATAAGTGGCCGCGATTTGATTACCACTTTGAAATTATCTCTTGAGTCGGTGTTTGTCATGTTCAACTTTAGCTCATTCCAACATAACAAATCCAGCAGATCAATTCGTTCAAATGCCAATAAAAATAGATATTTACAACAGCAACAAAAAATACTCGAAACAAAATACCAATGATAATACTGAATTCACTTAAACTCTATATATTCAAAATATTCAACGGGGTTGTAGACATGGAAAAAACTTAAACTTAATATTATGACTTGTACATTAGAAAGAAAGTGCTGTTGCACAAACGGTTGCTGCGAATGGAATGTTGATGCGACTGGTAAATTTTGAAATTCAGTACTAAGTGCAGAGGAGGCAAATATTTCAAGCAATCCGATGATGTTCTGTCACTCGCACACATACTCCGAATTCAAATTGAAGAGAGTGCGACCGAGACAACGATTATGTACGCACCTTAGACATTTGATGCGCAGGGTTGCTCTCTGAACAGTTTGTACTAAACTGCGATAATTGACACTTTGCTATAATGTGAACCGATTCAGGGTTCCTACATGGTCGAATGCACTTTTTGTTTTTCCATCATTTTATTTGTATGTATATTACAGATAATTGAATTAATAATCAATCTACTTGACATTCCGAAGGGAGTCGAGTTCATTTTGAATAGCATCAATCTGATTGTAGAATTCCAACACCTCAGCGTGATTCATTTCAAAGTTGATGGGTTCACCACTTCGACTGTTCGGATTGTCGACCGATGTATGCAATTGAATTTGGCCGATCGGAATTTTCTCTTTTTGTTGTGGTTCAGACGACAGCTGTAGTTTTAATTTCCATCCAATGTGCTCTAGTTCATTATTGGATTGGCCCGGTTCGTCTTTGTTTTCCAAATTATCAAGAATTGGTTTCATATTTTTTATCCACAATTTCATAATCACATCGATTTTGCTGTCTTGCAATTGCAATTTCTCCTTCAGTTCGGACTGTAGCTTTGTTGGCTTCATAATGAATGTTGACGCACGCTTCAAAATATACGACAAAGTTTTTATTAATAGCAGAAAATCCGTTCGTTCAATATTCACCAACTGCTCGAGCCTAAAAGTAGGGGTGGTGATTTATGTTAGTCAATTTGTTATTATTAACATGCTGTTCGTATAAGAATTAGATTGTAAATTTTAACAAGAAAAATTGCCCACTTTTCCAATCCACCGTCATCTTCGGTGTCAGCAGTTGCACTTTCGCCAGACAAAGACATGTTTTTGTGCACATATTTGATTACTGTTGTGAAAACATCGTCATTTAGCTGATTTATTATTTTGATGCCATCAGCAGCTCTGGAAAATATTGATAAACTCAGCAATAGAAACAATCGGCCCATTTGACGAAATGTATTCAAAATAAGCACAAAATCACTCACCGTTCAGTGATTTTGATCCAATTTAAATACATGTTTTTGTTTGCACACAAAACGTTCTGTTTACTCCTATATATTTTTGTCGTTTTTGTGCTGTTGTGCTGACAGATGAAACTGCTACACTAAACTGCAATAAATACCAGCCAAACAAATGCGTTCATTTTGACAGATGAACCAATGTACGCTGTTGGCTGTGACAAGCCATTTGTAAGTCAAACACAGAGCGGAGAAAGCCGAATATTTTCAACGCTTTGCTAGTGTACAATTCGCTGATTTTTCCAATTCAAAAGAAGAATTTGTGTGTTTTGAAATCAATTTTGGTGAAACGAAAATGAATCGACGACGTGCACATGGAGATGACGATCCTTACGGTAAATATTCGTCGAAAATACTCAAATAATTATTCAGATCAAACATAACCTCATTAAACAAAGCGATTGATATTCATTTTATCCCGGTTTATTGTTGTACTTTTAGATCGTCAAAATCGCAAGAGACGCCGTGTTTCTGAAAATCAAGAAATTGAAGATCGTCTTGAATCGCTCATTTTGCGGGTGGGTGAGAAAAGCACATCAACGCTCGAGTCAAACTTGGAGGGTCTGGTGTCGGTGCTTGAAGCAGACTTGGGAACATTTCGTCTAAAAATTTTACGCATTCTGTCGGAATGCGCGATTCGTATGCCTGAAAAGTGCACCATCTACACGACATTGGTGGGTCTGTTGAATGCCAAAAACTACAATTTCGGCGGCGAGTTCGTCGATCATATGGTGAAAACATTCAAAGACAGCTTGAAAAGTTGCAAATGGGAATCGGCACGGTATGCACTACGATTTTTGGCCGATTTGGTGAATTGCCACGTAATATCGGCTTCATCGTTACTCCAATTGCTCGACACAATGATTGATGTGTCAAATGAAGATACGGTGCCACAAGTGCGTCGCGATTGGTACGTATTTGCCGTTTTATCTACGTTACCTTGGGTGGGTCGTGATCTGTATGAGAAGAAAGAATCGGCCTTGGAAAATTTACTGGTTCGAATCGAAGTGTTTCTGAACAAGCGCACGAAGAAACATCATAATGCATTGCGAGTGTGGTCCGTTGATGCACCGCATCCACAAGAAGAATATTTGGATTGCCTTTGGGCACAGATTCGCAAGCTGCGCCAAGACAACTGGGCCGAAAAACACATTGTTCGTCCATATTTGGCATTCGATTCCATCCTCTGCGAGGCATTGCAGCACAATTTGCCAGCCATCAATCCACCACCTCATAGCGACAATTATGTGTATCCAATGCCGTGGGTTGTTTATCGCATGTTTGACTACACCGATTGCCCAGACGGACCAATTTTGCCTGGAGCACATTCGATTGAACGCTTCCTGATCGAAGAACACTTACACCATATCATCGAAACGCATCACCTTGAGCGCAAGGACTGTGCAGCCCATTTGCTGAACTTCCCGTACAAAAGCAAAATTCCGCTCGAATACTGCATCGTCGAAGTGATTTTCGCCGAACTCTTCCACATGCCAACACCGCGTTATCTTGAAATTTGCTACGGCTCCATTTTGATTGAACTCTGCAAACTGCAACCGTCAACATTGCCACAGGTGTTGGCACAGGCCACCGAAATTTTGTTCATGCGAATAGATTCAATGAACACATCAGGCTTTGATCGTTTCGTCAATTGGTTTTCGTACCATTTGAGCAACTTCCAGATGAGATGGTCATGGGACGATTGGGATAGCTGCTTGTTGCTTGAGCCAGAGCATCCACGACCGAAATTCATCCAGGAAGTGTTACAGAAATCATTGAGGTTTGTTTAGATATATATAAACTGTATTTATTTTCTTTACTTAAGTGAATATTTTTTCTTATTTTTTACTGTTTCAGATTGTCGTACTTCCAACGAATCAAAGAAATGATGCCAGAAGCCTATGCAAAACTGTTACCAGTTCCACCGGGTCCTGTATACAAATACACCTCGGAAGATGCAGGTACGTTACACAAAGTTTAATATAATTTCTTTTTCTACAGAATCGAACGCAACACAACGGAACAAAACCACCCAGTTTTCTTACGAATAAATTAATTTTTATTTAAAGTGTACTTCAAGTGCCTGAAAAGTTTTTTCACAAGCGAAATGTAACCATTCCCCTAAGAGCATACAAATGTATCCTAAAATCTAAAACGGTGCAACGGCTTATTTTCCTAAGGTGTGCTCTGTGGAATCTTCAACAGCACTTTTTTCAACTTTTTTAATTTTAGCCACTCTGCTTGTTTTTTGAATTTCCCCATTTTTGCTGTTGATCACCACTTTGGCCGCATTCTTCGGTATAACGGTTACTTTTTCTGCAATGTGCACGCTCACTGATTTTTTCACCGATTGCGATGTTCTTGGTTCGTCGTCAAGTAGCGATGCCACCGTTGTCGATACCGCGTCGCTTTCAATGCTGAATTCCTGAGTTACGGTCGCTGGTTTCGTTGTGGTGGTGGTTTTTCGCAATGTAATCTTCCTACGATTGGAGTAATATGATTTTTTCTCGGAAACTTTTGCCAATTCACTGTTCGTTTTATATTTATCGGAACCTCTCAAACGGGGCCGTTTCGGTGCCCATGATGATTTTTCGGTTGAGCTCCTTTGGTTTTTGTAACGGCTATGCGATGATTTTTTCGTGGTTTTATCCATTAATTTCTCGATACGCTGTTTTTCTATCGTTAATTCATCGTCATCATCGTCGTCGTCATCATCATCTTTGATTGTTACTCTGAACTTTTCCTTCTTTTTTCTGTGATGGATTTGATGTGCACTCGGTGATGATTTATCGGTTTCAACATATGGAACACGAAGATCAGCGCCCGAATCGGGTGGCGGTAATTGTGCATTTATTGAATCTGGGAAAGGATTACTGTTATCTTCCGATTGTATAATGTCACCTCTTATCGTTGTGACCGCATTGAATGGAGTGGTAAAGCTTGCGTCAGTGTTTGTCGAAGTGGTTTGATGAACTTCGCTTGGAACATTGTATGAATTGTCATCGCCGACGTTTTGCAAAGGCAACTGAGATACGAACCGATCGTCGCCATCATGAATTTCGCCATTAATTTCAGGAACACTCGAGGACGGTATATCGGATGGTGTGCTCTGCACAGATTGACCGTGGTAAATTGGATCTAATTCCGAATATGTGTGCTCTCGAAATGGATGACTGCCGATGAAATTGTAACTATGATGGTGCGGATGTTGACCAAACCAGTACTGATTAGCATGACCTTGTGCGTGCGGCGGATGAAGTTCGTTTGGATTTGAAAATTGTTCGTCATAAAGCGATGGAATTGGGGACGTTTGTGGCAACGTACTCAAATTGATGGCATAAGAATTTGGAGTGGTGGTTATGCTTGAGATTAGAAGTGCATTGGCATGCCGCGCTGGGAATGTAATCAATTGATTGCGATTTTGATTGTGATGTGGCTCGAAATTGTTCCTTTTCCCTTCACCCTCTAAAATTGATTCACGATTATCATCGTAATGACCTCTGTAGGTGGTAGGTCGAATTGGTTCGTGAAGTTTCAACTCTTCTGGAAAATGGAAGGGTGTCTGTGATGTCGTCTGCAATAACTCACCATAGCTATCGAGTTGATTATGCACTCTCGGTATCGACACTTGACTCGGTGGGACGGCATTATTCGGGAAACTTATGGCATTATATTGGCCGGGAAACGCGGAAAATTTCTCAAAGTGGGTGGTTTTGAAAATTGGCACTTCAGCCTTGTTCAAGTAATAGTGATGATGCAGGTGATTAGCATTTTCAGCTATGTGTGGCACATCTTGTGGACTGCCAGCTTCATATCTGACTACAGGCGCTGAACCTTTGGCATAATATTCGCCAATATTCAAATTGTCTAGCCCACGGTCGTAGGCAGATGGATGGGAATGATAGTTTAAATTGAATGGATGCTCTGATTTATCATAGAGTGTGTTGAAAATTCTCTTTTCCATTTTGATCTCCGTCTTTTTAGTTGAATTTTCGAAGTAATTTGGATAATCTAGATCTCTTATCAAAAAACTTCGAATGTTTGCATTGCGTTCCGTATTACGTTTGCCTTCGTATCGTTGGCTGTTCCGTAGCCTGCGTACCGTAATTTTCCATTCATATCGATAACCACGCTGACCATCGCGATGACGAACTATGTAAACTGACCAAAATGCCGTTATATTATGCCCTTCAAGAGTCTCTTCCAGGCAATACTCAATGCAATTATCAATCATTTCGACAAGCTGGAATAGACCATTTTGATCCATTTCTAGTTTTCCGCTCGCCAAATTGATCACGTCACCAAACTTGTCATTTCTTTCGCGTTCATCGTTAAGTTCAAGGAATTTCGCCCGTTTGATGCTCTCCTCGCGAATTACATCACTGGAAAATATCGAAAAAATGAAAAAGAGAAAGAAGAAGCAGAAAAAGTAATTAATTTTAATCGTTGGGCGTTTTTGTGTTAATGCAAACAAAAACTGATGTGCACGTAAAAGTGAGTGAAATTCGTTCCAGAGAATTGTTCCATTAAAAGACAATTGAAAGAAAAAATGACCAAAAAAATTTTACGCCATTCGAAACACGCTAATTAAAATCCATTGACAATGTTTACGCACAATTTCTCAATGCCCTTTTTTCTCGCTCTCCAATCGGTCTTCAATTCAATTGTTTCTTTATTTGCCAAAGACATATAATATTTTTTTGAGTGTCCAAAGCTATTGAACTCTTGGAATTTAGTGATTGCAACAAAACAAAGCCAACATTTTAACAAAAATTGTAAATATTTTCAACCGTGAAAATGCAATAATTTAACGCTGTCTTTCGCTGTCATTTCTTATAATACGCGAGTGAATGCGCCGCTCCAAATTGTGTAATTATTCCAAATTTTCAAAATCAATTTTGCCATTATATTGAGTCACAATTCGCAAAGACATTCATTCATATCAATTTTTTTTCGTGAGTTTGCCATTTTTTTCCAAATTCAACATTTCATTCGGAGATGTTACCTTTTGCTTGAGTTTGCATTAACTTTGTTGTTGAGCATGAGATACAATGAATGTTTCAACGGTTCCAGCCATCGATTTTCCTCATTCTGTTGTTCAGTGACGTAGTCATCAATTTTGTTATTCCGGTTACGGTCTATCTCAAGCGCAGTCACCTCGTTTGGATTATAGTATAACGTTTTTCCGGGCACTTGAATCGTTTGATTCGGTGTAAAGATCACATCTCGTTCAATATTCAATGTTTGAATTTTGGCGAGACCGGAAAACATCTAGATAAGAAATAAATTAACCGCAAGATATTAAAATTTGCTTGCTTTTTGTTTACGAGAAACTTCACATTTTTGAAAGTTAAAATGAATACTATTTTTTTTTAATTCTGAAGAAGAACTTGGAATTAGACCACGTTTTAAAATTGAAGTTGATTTTTTTTCAATTTGCAAATATCAATTACACGCTTTTCATGCATTTTCGTGTTTCGATTGCCTAATTAGAAACGTTCCGTTAAAAAAGAAAAATGTGATCGAATCAAACAAAAACAATGAGTGAAATTAACAAATCAGACAGACTCATCGCATATTCAGTGTGTAACCGGAAAAAAACAACAGTGCGAACAAAAGCCAAATTTGAAATTTTGCACAGAACGAAATAAGAAAACAGAAGCGTATTTTTTGACAAGGCCATTTCTTAAAGAAATCCAATTGATTTCTTTCCACTTACAAAAAGCAAAATAAACAAATGCCATCCAAATCGGCTATCCATTGTTTTTATTTTAACCAATTGTTGTGCACAAACGTAGAAAAAAGCACGCACTCGTACCGATCGAAATTTAGCATCAGATGAAAAATGTACAAAATCTACGAAAATTCGAAAATAAATTGGCAAAACACATCGATGTCGTACAATGGCTGAAAATAAACTGAACATGAATTTTTCAACCGAATGGAAACCTCGTTGAACATTCAAACAGTGGCAACTTCAAGATCCATATGCAAGATAGTCCGTCTCCTACTCCGCGGCAGAACGCGCCAATTCAATGAACGGTTTGATGGCTGTTGGAAAGGTAGCAAACGACGCGCTAAACGTGAGGAAAATCGTATAACCCGAAATTGTATGATTATATTATTGCAATATTTTACGCTTGCTGCACATTCGACCATGTGTGTGTGTGTGTGGCTCGTGTGGATTTCGTGAAAATTTCCATTAAGCAGAAAGATATGTGCACATACGACATGCATGTGATTTTTTTCGTCTGTTGTTTTTCGTCGTAGCCGCCGTCATCATCATCTTCTGCAGTGCAAATCCGCCACCAATTCACAAGCAGTGCGAATGGATCAGTAGTAATTTCCGAAACTCAGTCGCAAATGCTTATGTTTTGAGCCTATGACTGCACACAATACATTTGTTTACATGTTTTCTGCTGCCACGGCTACAGATTGAAAGAAAAAAATTATGCGAACGTCGCAAAATCAGCCGCAATTTCATATTTTCTGTTCCGTCCGTTTGTCTGTAGTTGTCGTTTTTCATTGTGCTGTAATGCACGTGAGGAAAATAGCTTGTAAACTGAAATCACAGAATTTGATAATAAAAACCATGTTAAGTGATTGCATAAAAACGAACTCTTTCACCATTATGTTTGTTTTTTCGTGCGCCAGAACAAATACGCCCCGATACTTCCATTTCCACTTTGCCTTTCTTTCCGCTGTTGACAACAATTGAATCGATTGTAATTGTGTCCAGCTGCACAGCGGCAGCCAACATGTAAATTTTTTCCACGATTTTAATCGCAGACGCTAATGGGCTAATTGCGATGTTGGACAATACCGAAAAATGCCGGAAATTAGTTGATGAATTCTCTTCTGTTTAATAGATTTCCTCAAAAAGCATCACTCATAATTTGTTTCTTCTGACATCGAGACATGCTGAAGTCGAATTTTCAAAAGACTTGCGTTTCTGAGGGAGTTGCGTGTCGAGTCAAATCCAAGACAATTTCCATTACTTATTTAATTACATTCGTGCACCGTGTGAATTTATTGAAACCATAACAACCAGCCCGAAGAGTTAATTAAGAAATATTTTGCGCACCAGAACATTCACATTTTTTTAAATAGAAAAACAAACGGAAATAGATTGCTGATTACTAAGTGGTATTTGAAAAATGAACGGATTGAAATACCATATTTAGTTTAAGTAATAGAAGGTGTGATTCTGGTGTATTTCAAAACGAATCGACCGTCAAAGTGAATTCACACAGAGCGGCATAAGTGAATATATCGAAATATGAAGCCTCCAGCAGTGATCAACGTACAAGATCAGCACATAGATAAGGTCGAATAATTGACTTAATGACATACAAGTCTCTTCGCATAAAGAAACCGCATTATATTTGGCGAGCAAATAAATCATTTGCACTTAAAATATGGTTTCACACTGTTTGAAGACAATCAGCCGTTAGGTGCAATTTATGACCAACAAAGGTCACATTCTGCAACTTAGTATTTTGTACTCAATGTACTGAATTTGAAAACGGTATAATTTTCGACTTGTCCGGACATTGAATTTTTCATATCGACATGCCATCTTCATTTAAAATATGAAAAAAATGTAACGGAATGCTTGGTTACGCATAATAAAACAGGAACCATTGCCTTGTACGTCGCACATTATGCACATTCATTTGCACGCAAAAAAAACCGTAAAATAGCTATGACAACCGTCGTCGAATGAAATTCTTCTGCCACACAATCTTTTGCAACAGCATTTCGTCATATCTCATTCTCGTCGCATCACATCACAAATTGCACAATTAAATGAAACCAACACTGGAATTATGTATGGATGATAATTTAATTACAGTCATTAGTTATTTGCGTTGGCTCAAAAGACTGCGTTAGTTTATTATCCAGCCACCAAATTCAAGGGCCAGTTGTGCAAGAAAAGTTCTGATCCCAATGGAATATGCATATCTGTTGAATAGGAAATTTCATCCTCAAAGTGCCCTAAACAAAAAGGAATCATATGTTTTTTACATGCTCAAATCTCTTTTATATTTTCACAAAAATTTTGCAAACAGTTAGTTCACTCTGTAGTGAACGAATTTTCTATCCTCAATTTTTATATAATAAATTAACGTTAGTTACTTACCATTTTCGTATAATATCGTTAGTAATACGTACCAATTAGAAAAATGTGAATGGTACCCGTGTACAAATAAAATGACTAGTTGTATGTAACTGTATGTAGTGATACACAACTAAAACTGGCTAAGTTGATTGAAATCATGCGTTTTGTATGGAGACAATCACGTTTAGTTATTCTTTCAGTCAGTCGACTAATTTGGGACATTTTGACTAAGAGTGATTTGTGATTAAAGTTAACTGCAGTTGCTTATTTTGTTCGAGACAATCACTTTTAGTCAGTCAAAATGTCCCAAATTAATCGACTGAATAGTCAGTCAAAAATTTTCCACACGGGTATTCAATTGTAGTAGGAATTATGGTTTAGAATATTCCAAAAAGAAAACGCATTTGTTACAAACAATATGATTATAGTACATTTAATACGAAATTTAGCACGTTAAGCCAATTAGATGATGAGATGTTGGCGTTAATTCATTCCTTTAACATTTTGAATTGTTTCCAGTGTAAAGTAAAGTCTTAGGATTTTTCATAAAAAATTGCTTTTCAATTTAAAATTCGTTTTTGGGCAAAAACATTTCAATGAGAGTTTCAACGGTGCTATTCTTCTTAGGAGTAAATTATCGGAACATTTATTTTCATTTTTTTTCCACGCATAAAATCCTAATTGAAGTTCATGTATTAAATTCTTTTTTCAGCTTCATTGCCGGGAACAACAACGGCACATCAACTTGTGCAGGCCATTCGGCAAAAATGTACCGCTGACGAGGTTCTGAACATTCTGAACGAGTTACCGAATCCCGAAAGTGACAATGACATGGTTGAAACCACATACAATCCACTGAAAATCGACGTCTTCGTCCAAACTTTGCTCAACTTGGGCTCGAAAAGTTTCTCTCACAGCTTTGCAGCCATTGCTAAATTCCACCAGGTCTTCAAGGTAAGTAGTTTGTACACAAATATCTTTTGAATAGAACATAATCCATTTTTTTTCGTGTAGACAATTGCTGATTCAGAGGAGGCGCAGATTTGCTTACTGCACAATGTGTATGAGCTCTGGGGTAATCACCAACAAATGTTATGCGTGGTGGTTGATAAATTGCTGAAGACACAAATTGTCGAATGTTCGGCCGTGGCCACGTGGATATTCTCCAAAGAAATGACCAACGATTTCACCAAAATGTACTTGTGGGAAATTCTCCACCTGACGATCAAGAAAATGAATAAACATGTCATCAAATTGGGTAAGTGGTGGACATGGAGCTATAAGTGATAATAATAGTTAACTTATTTTATAAATTTTCTTTTTCATTCTGTATAGGCACGGAATTGTCGGAAGCGAAGGACAAGTTGTCTCGCGTCGAATCATCGTCGAGCGACTCAGAAGAAGAGGCGACCAACAAGCGAAAGAAGATTGAAGTTGGCGAAAAACCATCCGAAGAACTGGTTGAGAAAATGGAAGAAAAGCTTGAAGCGGCTAATGTCGACCAAAAGCGTCTATTTTTGATTGTATTCCAACGTTTCATCATGATTTTGTCCGAACATTTGGTTCGCTGTGACACAGATGGCCAAGATTTTGACACCGACTGGTATCGTTGGACAATTGGTCGATTGCAACAGGTGTTCTTGTTGGTAGGTTTCATTGAACAAGCGCAATTTCCAATGAAAAAAAGGTGAATGAAAAAACATTTTCCAATGATTTCATTTAATTTTCCTTTCAGCATCATGAGCAAGTACAAAAGTACAGCAGCACATTGGAAACACTGCTCTTCTCATCCGATCTTGACTCACACATTTTGGATGTGTTCCAGCAATTCGTTGCTCTACGGGCGTAGACAACTGTTTCAATCGCTATGGATCCTCACTTGGAAAGAATAATCAGAGCAAACGAAGGAAATAAGATTTTCATCAACCTACTTATTATGTAATTCGAATAGATTTGTTTCAGAAGACAGATAATCATTTGTATTAAAACGAATATAATGAAGAAAAGGAAACATATGAATTGGATAATATTTCATTTATATTCCTTCTTTTGCTCTGATAATAATCAAATTAGAATTAAGTTCAAATTATTCGAATGAAAAATGAATTTTGTCAAGAAGAAGAAAAAAAAAATGCGATAATTTAATTTCAAAACTATGAAATCCTACGTCACTTGAATATGAATTTTTTAATTTTATTTGAAGACATAAAAATATTGTACAACTGTAACACCGTGCAACACATGTTTCTGCACATGAGAAATTCCGATTGCTTGTTATAGATGACCAAAAACCAAGCACTTTTGCATCATTAGTTTGTTCGAAACCAAGTCTAGATTTTTTTCATCGACACATATAAGACAATTTTCAGGCCAAAATGAGCAAATCACAAACATGAGCTTCGGTTTGACCGATAAAAGCAAATAATTTCTACATTTTCTGCCTTTCAACATCTAGTATGATCCTTTACGAACATTTTGGGTACTTACATGACCAAATCGAGTGATGTTTTCACATATTTCTGGCCGCATATTTGGTTGGTTCGATTTCAACTCTAAAAAAATCGACTTTTGGCCAAAAATCCTTAAATATAGGCTTTCAGGGATGGTATCTTGGCGCAAAGTTATTTTTTCTCGAAAATATGGGGAATCTACCCAGATAAAAACTCTCAAAATCGGTTTTCGAGGCACCTCCCGAACAAAAGTTACGTTTTTCATGCATTTTGCTATGAAAATATCATTTTTTGTTCGGGAGGTACCCCAAAAATACACTATTTGGATGAGTTTCCTAGTAAAAAATTAATTTTTTCGAGAAATATTGGGAATCTTTTCACACAGAATCTCTTATAAATGATTTTTGGGGTACCCCCCGAACAAAAAATGATATTTTCATAGCAAAATGCGTGAAAAACGTAACTTTTGTTCGGGAGGTGCCTCGAAAAGTCAATTTTGAGAGTTTTTGTCTGGGTAGACTCCCCATATTTTCGAGAAAAAATAACTTTGCGCCAAGATACCGTCCCTGAAAAGCCTATATTTAAGGATTTTTGGCCAAAAGTCGATTCATTTAGAGTTGAAATCGAACCAACCAGATATGCGGCCAGAAATATGTGAAAACATCACTCGATTTGGTCATGTAAGTACCCAAAATGTTCGTAAAAGATCATACTAGATGTTGAAAGGCAGAAGAGGTAGAAATTATTTGCTTTTATTGGTCAAACCGAAGCTCATGTTTGTGATTTGTTCATTTTGGCCTGAAATTTGTCTTATATGTGTCGATAAAAAAAATCTAGACGTGGTTTCGAACAAACTAATGATGCAAAAGTGCTTGGTTTTTGGTCCTCTAAAACAAGCAATCGGAATTTCTCATGTGCAGAAAAAAAGTTGAAATTTGTTACACGGTGTAAGCAGTACACAGAGCAAGAAATAAATTACTTTGAAGCCGAAGGACGATCAGTTGTTTTAATTTCATTCACTTGAATTTCTGTAAAAAATAGTTTGGCCGATGGCTAAAAATGTAAGGGTGTAATAAAAAGCGCTTCGTTTAGAATTTTTAACCTTTTTATTTGATTTTCTCAATATTTTTCAGATACATAAATTGCAGAAATACATATGGGTGATGATTAATAGCTTACTGGAATTTATTTTAATTAGCTGATGTTTTTGTCATAAATTCTATTATATTTCCAGATTAGATTTGCCATTTTTATTTATTTTTTTTTTCTGATTTTTTCATCGTTTTAATTCCATACTCCTTGTATATTCTCTATTATATGTTTACCATTGTTATTGATTAAGTTTTGAATGCGGATACCATTTATGCAGAAACTACGTGATAAAAATTGTGGCACGAAACGTGAACTTGGATGGTGTGTAGTTTCTTTCGCGTCATCGGTTCATAAGAAATAAGATGTGTTCATTCGAATGAATCGTTTCGTGCTTGGGAATTCATATAAACTCGCTAGTAAGCCAAGCATGAAAATGATTTATTTTGAGTGAGTGTTGACCATAATATTAATTCAATGCGCAATCAAATGCTGTCAGATGGTGTCAATCACACAAAATAATTCACACAGCATGAATGCCGTATCGTTGATATATTTGGGTGAAAGTGATAACTTGTAATCTGGTAAGAGTTTGCTATTTATTTTAGTTTAGTTTATTTTTTGTTTGTTAGTGATTTCTCAAGTGTGGCGGTGTGAATAAAATATTTATCGTAGATATTTTTCACATTAAATTGACTAGAGATAATATATGGATGCTACTAAATTGTATGCAATAACATTTGTTTATATAATTCTTGAGTATATTGGTTTTAGTCAATGCAATGCGTCCTATAAGAATGGTGTTAATCAAGCAAACAATTTTCAGACCAACTATTGAATAGCAATCATCAACTCGATAATGTTTCAGTGTTCATTGCCAATTGCTGATCAAGCATTGAATATACTTTTTTGCAATTAATACATTTATCCAATTTATGTCCACACCGTAAGCGAAATTGATAATTAATAAACACGCCGAATTTCTCACTTTCAATCCGTCCCTACATTTATATTTTTCGACGAGCGCCAGTTTAAATTTTAAGGTGCAACAAACTGTTAACGGTCTCGTTTGAATTGTCATTGTGCATGAATGTCTCAATTAGATTTTCTATTATTTTGGTATTTGATCTTTTTCGGGGAATAAAATCAAAACAAACATAAAATTTTGTACGTATACAGTGATATTCAGTGTGAAGAAAAACGTAATTTATTTGCGTAAATTTTAGTCGTCGTTTCATTGAAATAAAAACTGGAAAAATCCCTGCTTCAAGACACTTTTTTTTTGCATGATTTGCAATATAAAAACTATTTGCCGAATTTTATATGCAATTTCGTCATATTCATTTTTAAACTTTATGTTTATCAAATCAATTTGTTTAATATTCTGTCGGGTGCGAAAAATACGCACTCAATTTGCTATCCTATGAAATTATTCTCTGTGTACTTTATCCATCCGTCTGAAAATCACATCATTCGTTTGGCTTTGCTATAAATCCATTTCGAAAAATTTGAATTAAATTGAGGGAAAAAACAAGCTGCAAACGTAACAATAAACATATTTTGTAGCTCTTTTTCTTGAATAAAAGCACAAACTTCAAAAAATTCCTAAAAAAACAAATAAAGCTGGCACGGCAATTTGGTCGAAATTTTCTGCATTCAAAAATTGAAATAAAATAACAACCACGGAAAATGTTCGACTTGTTCAAAAACTCAAATAAAATGCTGAACTGAATATGGAATAAATGCATTTGTTTCCTATTTGTATCACAAGTCTTAAGTCCTGCAAAGTTTTTCTTTCGTGAACCTTGTCGCTTGCACGCTTCCATTTATTGTTCCAAGTCTTCTGTCTTTTTACTTCAACTCGTACATTCCATTGAGGTCAATTTATTAAAAATTAATTGTTTTGTTTTTTTATTGTAATATTCATGTATTTTCTTCATTTCGTTATAATAATGTCATCCTATTATTGTTTAAGCCATCATTCGATTTTTTGTATCGTTATCACAATCACTTTTTTGTATTCAAGTAGAAATGCAATTAAAATGAGTCATTTAACCGGTGTGTTCGCTACGGGATTGATATTTGGCCATCAATCCAATACATTTGTTTTAATTTTATTGGGATATTTGTGTATGTGTGTCTGTATCCCTTTGGAATTAATATGCGTTCTAAAAAAATGCAAACCCAAAATGTATTTCTCGTCGAGAAGGTTGTGTGATGTTTTGTTTAGATTTAATTAGTAAATGTTTAAAAATCAATATTTGAATGTCCTATGTGAATTGGCTTAAATGTGCCTGTTAATTCGTTTGTTTAATCTTTTCAGCGAGATTGAGAATTTAAAATTAACATGCGCTAATTATGTCTGAGTTTGATATTTGGCGATTATTTCAGAGGGGGAAGCCATAATTCACTGTTAAATGTCTTAAATTCAGTTATACATAAGCTTCAGATCAGCTTTAATTAGTCTTTCAAATCAATTTTTTTAATAAAAATGGGTATTTTAAGTCATTTTGGTTTTTTTTTGTTTTCCTTCCACTAGAAACTGTTTTTGTCGTGCTCATGTTTTGTTGTTCTTAATATATGTAAAATTAAAAATTACCTATAAACGTATGTTCGTGTTGTTGTTTCACTGGGAATGAGTTGGAATTGGATACTCGAGGTGAATGGCTGGTTCGATTGATCGATAGGATGATGGGTATGAGTTTTATCAGTTTGAGTGGCGTTTATTCGATTTTTCTACAAAAAAATACACTCCAACTTGATTTTGTTTCCACCATTGTTGCACCTTCAATCGGTTGACCAATCGAAACTTTGCGAAACCGAATCATTCTATTCATATTCACTTCTAATGCAGCGTTCTAATGTTTTTTCTTTCCTTTTTCAATCTTCATAAAAATATATTAGTAAATGAAGTTATTATTCTTTCAACTAACACTAAATAAATTTGGTTTTTATTTTTGATATAGAATTGGGTGATTGGATTAATCTCCGAATCAATGACAAGTAATAATGTATTTTTGTCAATTTTTTTTAGAAATTTTAATCTGGATATGAAATAAATTGTTTTCTTCATGGCATGGTCTCATCATCAGCATTAAAACTGTGGTTACTGCAACGAATTTTGAAATAATTTCATAATACCTAATAGATTTTTTTTTGCAATAAATTAAGCGAAATTTCATTTTTGATCATGCTAACCATTAGATGGTGGATCAAACTAATTAGCAAACGAATTGGTTTCAAATGCGAAAATAGAAACATTTTAACAACATTGTTTTGATTTAAGGTACATCAATTACAGATAATTTTTATGTGAAAGCTCGTTCGATTTTTTGAGGGGGTCTTAAAACCAAAACATAAGTTCTTGAAACTTGGATAAACTTCTCTCCGTTACTCTGTAATCCGCTGCCCACGGTAGAACATTTTTTGATTCATTCATTCCCTAGATCCATATCTAGCTACCAAGCAGATACTTTTAATAACAACAATAACTTGACATAAATAAATCGCTTTGGGATGCACGATTTGCAATAATGCAATAGATATAAGAATAGGATTTTCTGTTATAGGGGGTAACATTTTGATTAAAGTATCAATGAAGCAAATATTTATGTATTTCGTGCACCGCTCGCTCCATACAATCTTGAAATGTTTGTTCTATTTTATCCGGTGCATTAAATATCAAATTGAATTTCATATATAGATTGTGCATTGTTTTTATTTTTCATTCAAACTGATGACATTCAAAGAAAAAGGCTGTTCATGTTATTCTTACTCCACATAATTCTACCTTGGGAAATTCTTCTCACTTTCTAGTGTTTGTTTGCTGGCTTAGAACTCCAAGCGATAGGCTGAGCAGCATGTTTCGTGATCTTGTAGATTGATTGTGCATCTAGATGCCGACGGCGACAGATCGATGTGGTATTTAGCAAGCAACTCTTCATTTTCAGCTACCCAATAGCCGAGCACATCTGTGTCGTATGTGGGAATGATAGTGACCTCTGCAAATGTTCACATAAGATCTCAAAGTTAGAAAATCAAAATCGCTGTAATTTGAGAAAGATGGAATGTAAATAAAAACAATTTACCCAAACTTTTATCTTCCCAGGTTTGTTTGGCCTCAAGCAGAGCGTTATAAACGTCGCGACTGGGTTCGGTGCCAGAGAATACGTAATATCGAGCCCGCACACGTTTGAAGAATTCCACATGCGAATAGTAAGAGTTTCCGTTATGCGGTACGTATGTGAGGTCCATGTAAATTGGTGTGGATTTTTTGCTTTTGTTTGGCGAACTGGCGCGCTTCTGAATGTTCTTCTCGTTATTGAGTTTAATTTTAGCGGACGCAATTTTCCGTTCTTTCTTTGGTGTTGATGGATTTTCTGGTATCGATACTGGAAGACCTAAAGGTTTGCCCCAAGATGCGACTCGTTCTTCAGCTTTCTTTAAATCGTCCTCCAATTGTTTCGCCAATGCATCGGCTGAGCTTGCTGCGTCGTCTTTTGACTGTTCCTTAGGCGATTTCACATCGCTCAATGGGAAACCGCTGGCGGTTTCTGTCAATTTATCAGCCGGGAATTTTGATGGTGAAAATTCATATTTGGATGTAATCGATGACATTACATCGTCACCTCGTGCCTGACGGTGTTCTTCCAAAGCCTTTTCAAAGCCCATGTCGGCTTCGTCGAGGAATTTATGGTCATCAGATTTAGTCGTGGATGTTTCTTGTATGGTATGTGTGTGAGTGATTGGATCGCCTTCGCCATGAACATCGAATTGTTTCGTAATCACGGTTCGGACGGTTGTTACTGTCGTCGATGGTTCTGATTTTTCTATTCCGCTCGGCAATTCACCATAAAATGATGCACTCATCATCGGATCCATGGTATAGGACGATGATACGGTCACTGCTGATTTGAATTCTTGGCTGCCATAGCCAACTGCGGATTTGTATTCTGGCGGAATGTCATTTTGTGAGTCATCAATATCCAAATCAGATTTTTTGCTCAACTCCGAGTTTGATCTCTCGAATTGATAATCCTCATACGAATATTTCTGGCTTGATGTAACAGCTTCGTCGTCACTTATAGGCAAACTTTCGTTATCTGAATCACGCAATGTTTTCGAGTCGGATTTAATCGCTGAAATTTCTTTTGTTACTACTTGAACCGATGATGTTACTTCTTTGGTGGTGGTGGCGGGCAAATCGAATGAGTGCTCTTTCGTATCGAAACTACCCAAAACACCACTATCCAAAACAGTTTCAATCGAAACTTTGTCCGACGTTGTGCTTTCCAATGACGAATGAGCACTCTTTTGTTGGCTTAATTTATGATCCAAGCTCGATAAATGCTCGTCTTTGGTGCTAGTGGTCGTTGTCACTTCAGTTGACTCAACTTTCTCACTAGCCGTTGGCTTACTGATTTTTTCGTCAATTTTCTTGACATCTTCAATCAATGTACTGATATCGGATGCTTTCCGTGATGAGCCCGCTAGATTTGAATCATCTTTCGACAACTCGGTAATTTTCTCTAGATCGAAACTCTGTGGTGTTTCAACAGTACCAAAAACTGAAATCGATGCTACAGATTTTGATCGTGATTCTTTCATTACATCGGTTTTCTTCGGCAAATCATGAATAACAAATTTATCATCTACGATTCCTTTGTCGCCAGTTTTCTTATCAGCTGAATCATGAATATCGCAAATAGTACTCCCAGTCGCTATTTGAACACCAATACCATCTAAATCACTACTTTCTGTCTCGTTTTTGGGTTTTTCAGCTTTTGCGGCTATGTCACTTGTCAATTGACACGATTCATAAGCGAGAGATGTCGTTTTTTCTTCAACCACAACACTTGCCGTCGACTGAATTTGAGAATCAGTTATTTTTGAATCACTCTTCTTTCCATCACTGGCTGCCGATTCGGGTCGGCTTCCTTCAGCCGGTGTAGTTTTGCCGGAAGCATCTTGTTTTTCACTCACAATTGATTGTGAACGTGATTGTTGTGCGTCTACAATCTCGACTTTTTCTTCGCTTGCAACGGATTGACTTCGCGATTCCACTTTAGTTACCGATGGCTCATCTTTGGTTGGTCGATTCGGCGATGGTGCTTGATCCTTTGAACTAATGTCACTTGTTGCCGATTCGGGTCGTGATGATTCACTAACACTCAATTTTTTGTCATCAACCTTTTCAAAAGAATCTC